GTACAGCTTTGGATTCTACTGTACTCAACTGGACCTAGTCCACACACAAGCCATTTCTTGGCCTTAGCATTTTTCTCCCACTTCTTCAGGTCTTCAGCAGTGCAGTCAGCTCTTGTCTTTGGCACATCTACTCCTTCAGCATTCTTCTTCATGGTAGTAAGGGGACCATCAGTGACAATGGCCCATAGCTGATNATATATATATATATATATATATATATATATATATATATATATATATATATATATATATATATATATATATATATATATAATATTTTCTTTAGAGAAATACTATGTATTATAATGATACAAAATTACATTGTTTATAATGTATATATATACCTCGAATATACATTACATTTGCTATGAAACATATGTAGTTTATTTTTTCAAAAAATAAAGATGTATACTTTAGCTGGAGTTTGTGTTGTATAAATGGGTACTAGTACTCCTTTTTCTAGTAAGAAGATCCATATATGGAAAGTATAAAATCTATTATGGAATGAATTAATTTTCAACGAAAATAGGAAAAGATATTACCATTTAAATATGTTAAAGATTGGTTTCAAAAGAAAATATAGGAAAAAATATTAAAAAGTACTAAGAACGTTTTTATTAATGAAATACATGCATTAGGTGCGTGACTATAGGTATACAATTTAAAGGTGTCTGTTAGAAATATAATTATTTAATTGCTACGGCTGTAAAATAGTTGTTGTTGCTACGCCAATCTGCTAGAAATATAATTATTTATACTTTATATGTTGTCATTTATTAATTTCTTTCTACGTGCAATATGGCCAATCACTTCATTTTCAAATCTCTAAAAGACCAACAATTCAACATTTTAATTTTTGCTTGTTTGTTTTCATCATTAAGTCACGGATAACAAGAAATTTTATACATATTTTTACCAAAAAAAACTCAGAAATCATTAAGGTATTTGAAGTTTTTAGTGACGCATAATTACTCTTTATTGAGCTAGCTAAATGAGATCAATATTTATCACTTTTATGAATTCATATTTTTATTTAATATATATTTTATATATCAAATAATATTCATATAATCTTTTTGAAAATCATGCACTAATATATAGCGTGTACCTTAAAACTAGTGTTACTTAAATCCACATGAATATGAATATATGCTCATGTTTCCCGGATCCTACGTATAGTGGGAACTTAATGTACCGAGCTATTTTTTTTATATGACGTACTGGACGGGTGGGCGTAGGGGACTTGTCCATAATTTATAAACCAATAACATCAGCACCAGTACTCTTCTAGCTAGAGGAAGTTGAAGAGGAGAATCTAAGGTTTCATCATCATATTCCATTAAATCCCAAAAACTGTTTCAAAAAGAGAGAAAATAAAGAATAATATCCCTTTCAAACGTGGAACCAAATATCCTTTTGTCCTCGCGAATAACAAACATATTACGTGAATCCGATGCAATCTCCATATTCCACTCTTTTCATAATAACTAGTTTGTTCGTATAGAAGCTTCCTTTCCCATCCGCTTCGGTATGACTAATTCGAATTTGCATCGCGTAACAAAAAGTATTCTTTATTAGAATTTTTTTATGTCTAAAATTTAAACCCGAGACATCTGATTGAAAGTAAAGAAATCATATCCATCCCATGACAAACTTCGTATCTAATAATTCATGAGATTCTTTCCACAATAAAGGAATGCAATATATTTATTACTATTTTTTTAATGCAATCTAATTGATAAATTATATCTTTTGCCTTTATATTATATAATGACAAAGGGTGACATTCCTTTTTGAAAAGAAAAAAAAAAGCCTTACATGATCAGAAAGGTCACATAATACACCAATAATGAAGTAATTAGGCCCCTTGAAGTCAAACGGTAATTAGAAAGAAATCTTTTGTAACTCATTTAATTTTAATTGGTTTCAAAGTTTTTATGAGAATGTTAGTTGAAGGCCAAAAAGTTTGAGACTGAAAAAGATAAAAAGTGAAACAGCCTTCGCTGTTCCTTGTGATAGAAAGCAAAAGCACAAAAATCACCCCCATTTTTTAATATAATGATCATCATACATATTTTTCTCCAGCTTTAATGTTGATTAAATCGACAAATTTTTTTCTTTTTAGCTAGTGTGGACCATATATTTTTTGTTTTTTATTTTTAAACTTTGTTTGCCAAATGTATTAGAGGAATATTTGCAGGCAACCAAATGGAATATGAAGTGCAGATAAAGAACAAAATCTGATCTTAATTGCTCGGTATAGTTTATTTATAAATTCACGCTATATTCTCCCCAAGCTCAATCGTTACTATAACAAGTTGTTTCTGGAATAAAGTGAAGATTATAAAGCCTGAAAGTGTTAGTTATCTGTTATATATATATATATATATATATATATATATATATATATATATATATATATATATATTATATTCCGCCCCGAAAAGTGATACATTCTTTACATTGTTATTGTATATATTTTAGATTCTTAAGTTATTAATCTACAGTTGCACAAGTTTTGGACGACTCGTTGTCATTTATAGTATAACTTCTGATCTATGCTAAAGTACCAAAAATGGAAGGAATATGTTATAAAAAGTTATGGTAAAAAGAATTAATGAGAAGATGTATTACTCCTTGAAATTAAGTGCAAATTTATCAGTGTAGATATTTCCAATGTGGTCAGATGAAAAAGATAGTTCCAATGGGGAGGGAATCTTGAGATAGAAATCCGATCACAGAATCTATTGGATTCCACAATGCACCATATTATCCAATGAAGATTCTTTTTTCCTTTGGTTTTTGGAAACAAATTTTGTGCTCCACTCTAATGTTTCTGCAGTTGATAAGTACCCCAATCAACCCTGAGGGTAGCTCAACTGGTAAAGGCCCGAGGACAAAGTTCTTCAGGTCGCCAGTTCGAGCCCCCGCAGGACCACTGGAGGCATTACAAACCGGCCGCGTCTCCAGGGCCCCGTGGAACTAATCGTGGTGCACGCATTGAAACAGCGGGTCCCGGTGGGTACAATTAGTCAGGTTCGCAAAGCGATGCCCGAAAACCACGGTTAAAAAAAAAAAGTACACCAATCCCACCCCCACCCTCCCCCACCCCCACCCCATCCCACTCCCCGCCCAACCAGCCAACAGAGATGAAGGAAAATCGGAGTTTATATACAAGGGGTTTTCCTCTATTTTTTGCACCTAAATGAAGTATGCAAACCATGAGAGATCAAGCCAAGGCTCATAACCCAGCCAAGACGACGATACTTTGGTTGGTTGTTGACCAACGGAAAGCATGGGAGAAAGATGCACAAACGAAAAAGGGCTAAAAAAAAGGACGAAGTAATTTCATATATAAAAAGAGCGGTACACTGAACACGAACCCAATATCAAAGAACTAAAGAGGAAGCTAGTCGATCATTCAACAGCAGGAATCTACCCTAGGATCCAACCTGCCAGCTTTCTTCTCTTATGATATTAAGAATAGCGAGAAAGTGAAATAATGGGGAAACATACCCAGTATTATCTTACACTGTGGGATCTAGAGAGGGTAGTATGTACGCAGATCTCATCCCTACCTTGTGAGGATAAAGAAGTTGTTTCCAATAGACCCTCGGCTCAAGAAAGCATAAGCACCACATTAATGAAAATATAGACAAGTAGGGACAACACCAAAAAGCCATATAAAAGCAAAATAAAAAAAACAAGATAGTAAGGTGATCAACAATGATAGAAAACAGCGGTTAGTCATAAAAACCTACTACCAACAGAAAGGGAGACTGCGCGTCAATACTACTGTTATGAACACTCTAGACTACCTACCCTACTACCCTAATCCTTGACCTCCATACCTTCCCATCAAGGGTCATGTCCTCGGTCAGCCATGTCTTGCCTAATCACCTCTCCTCTCCCGCCAACACAACAACAAAGAAGGGAAAAACCAGCTAGACAGTCGCTACCATTAATTAAAATGAAATGGAGGGATGAGGGT